AAACGTCACTCAATAAGACATATGTAAAGCAACTACTAATCATTGAAATAATTTGGCATGTAAGTTTGGGATATGAATAGCTAATACAGCCGTTTTCGTATTACCAAACGGGCTCCAAAATTATATCCTTGTATTTCCCTAATTCTGTAAAAATGAAGGAGAGATAAGTCACAGTATAATTAAATAACATAATATACACAAGCTCACAGACTCCCAAAAATAGCATAACTAAGAACAGATAACAATATACACAAGCTCCCTGACTCCCAAAAAAAACTTATTACATGACTTGTTCCTAGTCAACTTCCTACTGAGTGTGCTTTCTAACACAACGATGATGATGATATCACCATCACGATAACACTTTATGAACCCATGTAGAGCAGAGCCTTGCTGTTATGGCACAGGTGCTGAAGTATTCTTAATGTCATTTCATACAAAAATCTACTATAGTAAGTGCATCCAAATTCACATATGAAGTCAGAACGTATGAAAACAACCATGTCAAATATGAGAGTAAATGCTTATCTAATTTGGATAGTGTATGTAAAATAAAAAAGCAAAAACTTATGAATTGGGCTGATAATATAAGCCATATAATATGGCTCACCAATACACATCAAAGAAGAAAGCCACTATTACAGAACCTGATAAAGAGTAGCACCAAGTATAACCATGTAGCAATATAATAATCACTTGTGACATTGTCAACAACCAAACATCATGGTAAGGAAATAAACATTTAAGAATGGTAATGAAGCATAGCATACCTTAAAAAGCATAACAAATATACTATTGTCCCTATAACAAAAGTAAAATATATGGACATATTTACTTCTAGTTTAATAGTTTATGAAAGAATTGGGCAATACAAAACAATAGAACAGGCATCATATAACCTGCACTAAAAGAAGTACGGAGTATTTAATAATATACATATTCTTATACTCTGTAACAAAATAGTCATATATGGAATGAGATTTAAACTAACTTTATTTGAGCCAGTTTTCATAACTAAAGAACCCAATGGAGTAGCATCCAACTGTAAACCAAGCAACAATACATAATAGCTTTAATTAACATAATATTATTAGCTTTAAATAGATAGCATATAAATCAAATCAAGCATTCAATTAAAAGAAAATTTATTTAAAGAATAAAGAGATTACATGAATTGAAAAGAAAAAATCATGTAAAATAGAAGAAATGCAGATGGCAAATCGCAGAAAAAATTCATGAAGACGGGGTTTTCATGGTTATAAATATGTCAAAACAGAAGCTTACTACTCCACCTCGCCAGAAGCCAGCGACAAGTCCCCGTAGCTGCATCCGCACTGTTGGCTATTGCAGCTTCTCCACCAGGGGTAGAGGAAGGGGGCTCGTCCCAGGGCATTTTTCTTGCAATACATAGGGAGTATTAAAAAAGAGTTACGATCAATTCCAGTCTTAAAAAATCTTGCCCAATGTGTACCCGAATTCCCAAACCCAGGAACCTTCTTCTTGGGTTCTTCACTCTTCTAGTATCAGGGTGACCCCTTAACCACTCTAAACGAAAAAACGTAGAGGATGGAGGTCTGGCAAAAGCAATGGTGAGTAAAGGAAGTCTAACAGATGCGTGGATAAACACATTCAATCAAGTGTAAGCGGAAGGATTCTGCCAGTCTTTTGCTTGCCGTTTAATTTAGGGGAAGTAAATTAGGCATTCCGTACAAGTGGTTAATGCACAGGGAGACACCAACACTTTTTATATGACCGTTATACCCTAACATTATTCGTGTTTATAGAATTGTAGAGATTAAATGAACATATATGTTATTTACACATATTGGTAGCTGAATAGGTTTTTTTACGTAATACATAGTAATAATTGCTATATAGGTAGCTGAATAGGTTTTTCTTACACATATTGGTAGCTGAATAGGTTTTTTTAACGTAATATATAGTAATAATTGCTATATAGGAACATGGAGTTGAATTTAATTTCAGGTTGCCACTTGGCAAATTTTCCAATGAAAAGTATTGCCACATGTCAATATTTCCACCAAAGTATTCTCAAAGTTTGCTTTATTTAATTTGATTTTCACTATGAGTCATTCGGAAACAGTCTCTTTGTGTTTTAGTTCAGGGGTAAAACTGCGTACATCCGCCCCTCTACCCCACCGTAGTGGGAGCCTTTGCGGCACTAGGGTGATGATGATGACGATGATGATGAGTTCTTTAATTCAAATTCTCTTTTAGTACCAAATCCAATAAAAATCCAGTGACATATGAATTTAAAGATATTAGATATATTATTGTATATTATATTATACTTACTAAAATATAATAAAATATAATAAAATAAAGATTATTCATATAATTAGTACGGAGTATATCTGTATATCAAAATACATCTATGATATGCAATAGCTATTTTTTTCTCTAATTCTTATTCTATGATGATTATATCATATAATATGTGCTTTTTCGATTTCATATTTTCCTTTATGTTGGTATAATATCCATGGAGTTTTGAAAGGTGGATATTTTCCTTCATTTACGTCTGTACATGTTTTGCTTTTATATTTTAAATTAAATGAACAGATATGTTATTTACACATATTGGTAGCTGAATAGATTTTTTTTTTACTTAATACATAGTAACAATTGCTATATAGGTAGCTGAATAGGTTTTTTTTTACACATATTGGTAGCTGAATAGGTTTTTTTTTTACTTAATATAAAGTAATAATTGCTATATAGGAACATGGAGTTGAATTTAATTTGAGGTTGCTATTTGGCAAATTTTCGAATGACAAGTGTTGTCACATGTCAATATTTCCACCAAAGTGTTCTCCAAGGTTTGCTTTATTAGATTATATACATATAGATAATCTGAAAAGCTTGTGTATACATATTACTCTGTACTAATGTGGGCGTAGATAAGGAGCATTGGTCACCCACCAACATCGACTAGTTGACTAAAGGCTGGTTTGCAACCACTTTAAAAAAAGCACTTCTCAGCTTTTGGCTTAAAAAAGCACTTATTTACCAAACACTACCAATTTTTTATTTTTCTCGGCTTTCGTGTCAAAAGTGCTTTTCCACTTTTTATACACCAAAAGCACTTATTTTACCAAACACTACCAACTTTTATTTTTCAAAATCACTTTTTTCTCAAACACTATCAACTTTTACAAATAATCACTTTTTCCAAATCACTCCAAAAGTGCTTTTTTTAAAGCAGAAGCTGTTGAAAACACTCCCTAACAAAAGCAGAAGATTACGAAAGGGAGGCCTCAGGCCTGCTATCATGATCGACCGTTTGAGTAATTGAGCCATTTGTATAAAAAAGGGAAAAATGTATTATCAAGAAACCATAAAAAAATTATTCAGACCTGCCTGAAAACTACTCCATCCGTCCCGCTAAGATGTTCTTGCTTTACTTTTTGGCAGTTCCAAAAAGAAGTTCCTCTTTCCCTAAATGGAAAGTTATCTAACATCAAAAGAGTGTCAAACAGTGTCGAAACAGTGTCAAAATAGTAAATTTTACCCCCTGATAAGTTTATTTCCTTAATATGTGTGTATGTCAAATTAGAAACATCTTAGCGAGACGGAGGTAGTATGACATTTCATAGATATATGACGTACAAGAGTACGTCTAACAACAAAAATAAAATTAAATACAATGTCCTATGTGTATTTTTACACGCAAACAACTATTTTTGAACAGTTAATTTACCAAACATTTGTTGACAACCAGTTAACATAATCAACTAACTAAAACAGCTGACATAACCAACTAACAGCCAATCGATTGCCAAACAAGGCCTAAATTTAAATACCTAGCTATCACCATTAATTCAAAGATTTTTATTCTCATTCAAAGACTTTTCTCAGCAGAACCACTCCCTCATATATATCATATACTAGTTATATGACGTGCAATGCGCGACTGAAAAATGCCCAAAATTATTTTTACAAGGTTAATATAATGGAATGCTAATGATTAGCATATTCAAATTGTTTGAAAGTGAATACAGGATAAATGGATGAGTAAAAAGAGATATGAGACATCTTTTTACCTATAAGTGATCCTAGGATCTTTCGGAAACATCCTATAAGAATATAACATCAATATTGTGGAAAAAAAATCAAAAATAGAGTGGGTTAAATGATTACGTTTATAGAGTGTAGAACATGTGTGTCATTTTAATGTTTGAGTCCAATAGCCTTAATATGTACACATAAAGAGGCAAGTCCAATAATGAATGTAATTATATATGATACCACAATGCACTGTCACGAGTAAAATCAATAATATTCCTAATTCAATAGTTAATATTTCTTTCTCATAAACATATGAAATACTATGTAAAATATTGCAAATTTGACTTTTTTGGGCAAACAGATTAATTTTATTCACTTAATTAGGATGTCAATTTTTAATTATATCGTAATTTGAAGTTTGCACCTTTGAAGAGATTTTAATGTAGTTTATGAATATGTAAATTTTAATTATTAAAAATTGAATTGGTTATTAAAAGAGAGGATTTAACTTTAACATTGGTTAACAAAAAATGTTGACTTTACAAATCAATTTGGGACGGACCACGGCATTTTGGAACAACAACAACAACAATAAAGGAAATAATAATATAATAATAGTAATAATAATAATAACAATTATAATATAATAAAATTTAATATATAGTTTTCCCATTTCTGAAAATTTACATAAAATTGATGTTGTTATCATCTACATAACACACATTTAAGGTGTCTAGATTGGTAACGTAGATAAAAAAAAATTAAAATGCAAATAAAATGAAAACATTAAATGGATATAAAAGCCATCAAGTGCTTAGAGTCAAATTAAAATAACGATTGAAAACGTTGGAACTAACGATTGGATTTAACGGAGGTAAGTCAAAATAATGAAGAGTACAATGACCAAAACAATTTGTACAAGCGCATTTTGCTTTAGTATTACACTGACATTTTTATCATTCCAAAAATGTCCTAACCAGCATTGGTGTTTATAAATTGAGAATAAATATAAGTTGTGAATCATTTATAAATCCATGAAAGCCTATTATATCCTTTCGAATAAAAATGGAGTTTTTTATTCATGAATTTATGTGTACAAAGAAGAAGCTAAGAGATAGATACAAGGGGCATGCAGTAAGAGAGTGAACCAAATAATCCCATGATCAGTATGGCTGCCGGCGGATGATGTCAGGACTCCCAAGACCGGAGCAACAATGGCCGGTGGATTAACAACCGAAGATGATGATGCAGTAGCGTTGTTCGCCGGCGGTGGGCTGCCATCCTTCAGATTTTGGTATGAACTAGAGGCGGCTTCCCAATCAAATCCAGCCTCATCCCCCCGCACTTGCTCTTCTGTAATTACATTGAACATCAGCAACACCATCCATCTAATTTTGTGATCATATGATCGAATTCATTTTAAATGTGTTTATATTAATTGAGAGATGTTTGCCGTTTTCTAACTAAAAGGTCAAGAAAATTAAGTACTTATTATATTCATTCAATAGTATACTCCGTAGTTAATTACTTATTCATCGAAGGAGAGTGGTCCTCTATTTATAGTACGAGTAGTATATAGTACTAGTAAAAAGGTTGAAGGGCTGAAGGGTCTCAAGCACCCCCCAATCCTCTATGTGGTTCCGCCACTGGTACTTGGCAGATTAGAGGTTCTGGTAGTTTAATGGGAATTGGTATGGAGATTTGCAGAAAACTGAGGTGAGGTGGAATGTGATTCGTGCAGGCGCACCATGGAACCCACTCATTGTATTACGGGACATTGTTAAGTCAGGATACGGAAAATAGTTTTCAAAAAAGAGACATTCTTGTTGATGTAAATTTTGTCGGATCAAGACAACGATATCCTTTATATCCAAGTGCATATCCCAAGAAGATACATAAAACAGATCTAGGGGATAGCTTGTTGGCAGATGTGGCATTAAAATTAGGAAAGCAAACACACCCAAAAGTACGCATAAAAGTGAAATTTGGTGGATGATGAAACAATTTCTCAAACGGAGACACACCATTTAAATTAGGAGTAGGGTGACGATTAATAATATAGGTAGCGGTAAAAACAGCATCAACCCAAAATTTAGCTGGCATTTTTGCTTCAAAAATCATAGTGCGAGTTAATTCTAGGAGATGACGATGTTTTCGTTCAGCAACTCCATTTTGTTCTGGAGTGTCAGGACAAGATTTTTGAAATAAAATACAATGTTGAAGAAAGACATCACGCATACCATGATTATCAAACTCACTCCCTCCATCACTTTGAAAAATTTTAATTTTAGAGTTGAGTAAATTTTCCACCATTATTTTGAATTGTTTAAAATATTTCAGAACTTCACTTTCATTGCGCATAGGGTAGAGCCAAGTAAAGCGGGAAAAATCATCAATAAAGAGAACATAATATTTGAAGCCATTTTCAGAAATAACAGGAGATTGCCACACATCAGAATCAATTAGAAATAAAGGAGCAGTAGATTTATGCCAAACTTCCTGAAAAGGTAATCGTTGTGATTTTCCAAAACGACAAGAAATACAATCGTGGGAAAAATTAGAAGTACTAAAAATAGACCCAGACTGTTTAAGTTTATCTAAAATACGACTGCCACAATGTCCCAATCTACGATGCCAGACAGGTCCAGGAGCGACTTGAGAGGTAAAAGCAACAGGCTGAGGATGGCTAAAGGAAATAGGATAGACTCCACCATTACTGGAAGCTTGAAAGAGCACCTCCCCCGAGATTTGGTCCTTAACACAGACAGAATTTTTATCAAAAATTACAAAACAGTTATTATCGGCACATAACCTTTGAATAGACATCAAATTATATTTAAGATGAGGAACATAAAAAACAGATTTTAAATGGAGAGGTTTGGGTAGAGAAGATAAGGTCACATTACCGATATTCCTAACTGGTAATTTAGTGCCATTAGCAACCGTAATGTTAAGTGGTCCAGAATAAATAGATTTATTGTGCAAAATACCTTTATTTGAAGTCATATGAGCAGAGGCACCAGAATCAGGATACCAAACAGCAGGTGACTTCACCGGTGGGAACAGCTAAGGCAGGAGCCTGTGGTTGAGTAAAGCGGGATGGACACGCAATAGCAGAATGACCTGGGGAATGACATATTTGACATACGATAGGTGGAGGAACAGTACCAAAACTATTCTCAAAAGATGGAGATCCTGCATAACCATAGTTAGTACCAAAAGTAGACAGGGCAAAAGTATTAGACAATGACTCAACCGAATTACAAAAAACTGTACCCGATGGACCCGAAGAATAATGCGAGGGCTGCCCCCGTCCAGAACTGCCATGCGGATGAGGCTGAGGGCCCTGGCCGTAAGCTGGATAATGCTGCGTGTAAGCTGGTCCCTGGCCGTAGGCCCGTAATACTGCTGGTTGCGGCCACGTCCGCGGCCTTCCCTGCCCCATTGACCACCACGACCCCGGCCGCCACGACCTCTTTAATGCGGCAGTTTCTGCTGACTACTGGAACCAGCCCCGGCTGAAGCTCCCCCAGCAGCTGATGAGGCAGCAAACGTAACGCAGGTGCAGTGAGTGCAGAATCCAGCTTTTGTTGATAGTTGATCGAGACAGGCTTCTTGATGAACGGGTTTGGTGCACAACTTATCAAACGTGAGGGGGCCTATAAGTGATTCATATCCCGGTCCCAAGCCCAAAAGGGCGTGTTGTAAAAGATCATGATCGGACACCGGGGAGTTGATAGCCGCCAGATTTTCTGCAATGTGTAGTATTTGAAGCAAATATTGTTCCATGGTCTCAGTATCCTTCTTTTTCATATGAGTCAGCATTTGTTTTAACTCCATGGAACGGGCCATAAAGCGAGCCTCCAAGCGAGCCTCCAAGCGGTTCCAAATAGCTGTGGAATTTTTCAATTGATGTACCTCAATAAGAACATCACGAGAGAGGATTGCAAACAGCCAGGAGCGAACAGTCTGGTCCAATTTTAACCAATGATAGTATTCAGGATTAACAGATTGAGCCTGATACAGATCATAGGTATAGGGTGATGGTGCTGGAAGTGAACCATCAAGGATCCCAAGGAGACCATTGGAAACCAAAAACGAATTAAACTGGGTACACCAGGGTAGGTAATCTTCAACAACAGATAATTTTGTTCTCACAATATTGGTATTAGAAAGAACGTCAAACCCCATGCCTTGAGCCAAAGTAGCCAGGGGTGTAGCTAGGGGTGGGCCAGGCTTGGCCCTGGCCCAGCCCAAAATTTAAAAATGTCTTTATTTTTAGTGTAAAAAATTCCGTGTAAAAAAATTTTCAAAAATATTCTTTGTACCGGCCCAGTCTGGCCCAGTGTCCTGGCTCCGCCCCTGAAAGTAGCGAACGACTCCGGCATAAGTGGAACCACCGAACGTCGGCCAACCAGCCCTGGTTGCTGCGGAAGAACAAGACCCGGACCGCCAGTTAAGGTCGGCCCGGCAAACCGGTCACGGACCGACGCTGCTTCACTGGAGTCCATCTGCGATTCCATGAGCTAGCCAAACGGTGGACGAAGAGTGGGAGGCGTCGGTGTCCAGGTAAAAACCGGTGGAACCCAGAATGATGATGTCGGCGCAGAGATAAAAGTAGAAGAGAACGGAGACGATGGGAGCCGCTCGATGACCGGTGCTACTCTGCGACGTTACTTCGGCTGCGGACTGTGTGAGTGTCGTGCTGAGAACCGGCGGATCGGTCACCGGCGGTGTTGATGTGGCCGCGGTGGTACTCGATGCGGTGGCAGCGGCTGTGTCCATAGATGTCATGGTGGACCGAAAAAAAATTAATGCTGGCTAAAACCTAGGGCTCTTGATACCGTGTGAGAATAATGGCAGGCTTACCAATGTGGTAGCCCTGGGTGTCATGTATATAATAAATAAGAGTCCAGAATACATTAGGAAACCTATTACAATAGGAATCCTACTACGAGGAAATAATAAAAATAGGAAACTCCTATTAAGGTAATAACTACAAAATATATATATATAACTACAATATATATATATATATATATATATATATATATATATATATATATATAGGAATGGATCCCCCCACCCCACTCGAATGTACTTTCTGCCAAGGGCGAACCTAGAGGCGGGCTAACTTAGGCCCCGATCCACCCCAAATTTAAAAAATGCCTTAATTTTAAAGGTAAAAAATTCCGTGTAATTTTTTTTCTCTTAAAATATTCTTTGTACTGGCCTAGTTTGGCTTAGTGCCCTTATTCCGCCCCGGCTTTTCGCCTGGTGAATAAAATTTCCTTGTTGTAGATTATTGCTCCTTTCATGCTTAACGATTACTTCCCTCGTGTGTGTCTCACTTGGCTCTTGCGTCCCACAAGCTCTGGGTTTTCCGTGCCACATTCATGGCCAGGGCGTCCAGGCCCCAAAGATGTGGTTTTGGGGTGTCTGATTCAGCTCAATGTACTCATGAAGTTTTTCGCCTAGCTATCCACTGCAATGGTGTTTTGTCTCACACTGGAATTTTTGTTTTCCTTCTATTTTGTTGTATATATTATGTACGTAAATTATATGGTACAACCTGTTGTACCATGCTCACAGTATAGTCGAGTATTTAATCTTATATCTAACGAGTATATGGTCAAAATGAAATGAGTATTGGCATTAAGTTATAAAGTTAGCACATAAATAATTTTTATGATAATACAATGATAATATTGTTAAATGAATATGTTGAATTGTAGTATCTAGCTATATATTACGTTTAGATGATGATACCCATGCAATTGCACACTTTGAATAGTACCAATATATATATATATATATATATATATATATATATATAGTGATTTGAACAAGCTAAGGCAGATGGATATTTAATTACCGTGGCATTGAGGTATTGAAATGAGGCAATCTGACATGGTGAGCAATAGAGAGGGGGGAGTTATACAGAAACAGTGATGATCCTGAATGATTGCCTGGTTAAGAATTTCACAGCAGGACCAAATGGATTTGGCTGACAAATATTGGCCTTGAAGTAGCTGCAAGCATGGGTGGAAGTCTTCAAAAGGGCACTCTCGGGTTTCGTCCAGGGAAGAAGAAGAAGCAGCAGAATTATTATTATTATTATTAGCTACGACCATGATGATTAGAGACAATGTTTTCATCATGATCCAAGAAAGCCGATTCATCCTAGCTAGCTTAATGTACGTACGTTTTCAACTAACTTCAGTTAAATTATTAGTTCTTTCTTCGATCTCATTTTTTTTTTGCTAAATATATAAGTCAAGCTAGAACGCAAACGACCTCATATATATAAGTAGCTAGTATGATGCACACTTTATGGATGATCCATCGATCATCCTCAACCAACTTGGTCATCCATCAGATGCATGCGCCTTAGCTTGTGTAACCATCCCATCCACCTGTACGTACGTGTAGCCTAATTTTGCATAAATTTAATTTGTTCCCAAGGCCGGCCGGATCTATATACTAGCTAGTGATTCATGCATGTGCATCCTATCTTTCAAAACACAAACTCCAATGTTTTCTTATTTTGGCCTAACTGCCATCACCGGATATTAAATTAGTTTTCAAGTGACACAAAATCACTCCAAATGAATCATAATCCATCTATTATGATTGAGAATTGTTTCCAAGAATCAATATATATATATATATATATATATATAAGAGGAATTTTTTAAGAGCATACAAAGCGCCACATAATCCTGCCATGTCATTATACATATCAATTATTTAGTTATTTTTATACCTTCTATTTTTATTAGCTAGATTCTATTTTTGATTACATATTGATATGGAAACAAAAATCCGTAGAAATATACCTTAATTAATTTGGTAACTTTTTCAAACCCATTACGTATTTGAGAAGTATTAAATTCTTTAATTGGAACCACAACAATTAAGAGCATCTCCACCCATGATCTTAAAATAAATGGTTTTTCTATGACACATCATATTTATTAAATAAATTTTAAATAATCTCAAATCTTAAAACTCTCCAGCAACCATGATATTCAAATAATTAGTTTTTCTAGACCATGCATTAAATGAAATTTAACTACAACCTAAAATAATCCGGGATTCAAATCCTGATACCGGATTATCTTTTTCAATAATCTCTCTAAATAATCTCTCACTCACAATGATAATCTTTAAAATAATCTTACACATCATCCAATTAAACTCTAAATATTCTAAACAATGAGGATGCCCTAATAGCCAAATCTTAAGCACAGACTCAAGGAGTAATAATCATTTTTATACTTTTTTTATTACATTCTATTAAAGAGATGAAGTATTCGTTTTTTGCCCACTTAACGGATAAATCAGCCAAATTGCTATTAATTTTTGTCTTCAAAGTAATTTGATAATAAAAATAAAAAATGTAATAATAGTGTCCCATTTCCTAAAATGTAATATTTTCTTTTTCCAAACTCAATGTTGAGATAATGATTAAAATTCTTTTTTTGAAAGAGATAATGATTAGAATTCTAAGCCCTGGATTTGCAATTGTGTTAATACTTCGCATTTTGCTCCATCTTCATACAATTCTTTCTTAATTATTAAAATAATGAAAAATTATAACCACCATATAATTGAAATTAAAAACGAAATTAAAACTATTACATATTCTAATATAGAATCTTAAAAAGAATACTTCTTTTAAATCACATTATATTAAACAGGTTCTATATTAGACGAAGTTTATATTTCTTTTAAATCACATTACATATGATCTGAAAGAAATCAAATTCAAATTAGGTAAATTAAATATTGCCCGTGCATCGCACGGGCTTGAAAGCTAGTTGTAATATAATTGTAATATGATTCTAATAGTACAAGTTACACCCAAACATATACGGAGTATCAAATTTGATAAACATACTTTATTCAAAATTATTAGATGAAAAAAATTATTACAAATAATTAAATACATTATTTCATTCCTTTGTAGTACTCAAAGCCATCAACGGTAGTCAAAGTCACGAGCACACCCAAAGTACTAGAGTCTCCCTGGCTTGAGGCCCAAAAACGCTCCCTGACTCATGATAGGCACATTGCTTGTACTATTCAACTAACTACAATAAAATTTACATATACTATTCTACAATCATCAATCATGATGTATTTCAAATCATATTGAACTAACTACAATAAAAAGTTATGTTTTTCAAAAACAAAGTCATGATTCATCCGCCAAGTAATTGTGTTTCCAAGCCAGGTCTACTTTTGCCGATTTAGCAACTTCAGGACCCGTAGGCCATAGCTGAAGTTCCACCTTCCATGTCCTGTAAATGCACAATGCAATTTTTTACTCAATTAAGTTAACCACAAAAATCAGTGGGGTAAGCGCTACGAACACTTACCAAGTATTATTAAGGATAAAGCAATTTACAATTTAGCCTAAATAAAAAATACGTAAGGGAAATTCTGAGAATCAAGTAGTGAAGCACCTCTTACCCTGCGGTGAAGCAAGTGGCATATTTGATGAAATTAGTCGTTGATGGGGAATCTAAAGAAGCAAGTAGATTAGCCACCTAGATCTCCCTCTTGCTTAGGATAAGAGACTTCAATTCTTTCCTGGATAACCAATGATAAGAGAATTTATTTGGTGACCAGCCCCCAAAAAAATTTGCCATTTTCTTTTCAAGAATGGAAACAATCTTCGTAGGTTATACTTCATGAAACTATTCAATGATTTGAGCTTCGTTTGGACGGAATCCGACCAGGACTGCAACTGGGGGTCGCCGTTTTTTAGTAGCGCAGCAGAGGGGAGGAGTTTCTGTCGTTCGTCGTCTGAGGGAAGGGGGGTTATTTGGGTTTTAAATGAGCTGCCACTTGGAGTGGCGGCTTTGGTATGGCAATAGGAAAGCCGGCACTCCAAGTGGCGGCTTTTGAGAAGCTATACAAGAGCCAGCACTTGGAGTGGCGCCTTTCCTTAACCGTGGTTAACCCCAACAGTATTTTAGGAATTATTCTTACCCTGACAGTATTTTGGGAATTATTTATTTAATTAGCATTATTCCGGGAAAAACCTCAACATATATATATATATATATATATATATATATATATATATATATATATAACTAAATACAACACAAATAAAACTATATTAAACATAACTGGACACCATATTATATCTCTAACAATCCTCAATTCCGTTGTGCATTAGTGCCAGGGGCGGATACACGTTGTGTTTAGAAAATTTAACGAGACCATATATTTGCCCCCAATTAAAAAAGATAATTGCCCCAAGTTATCGAGCGGCTGAATCTGAACAAAGAGAGGGTATCGATGGAAGCATATACCATACAGCCGGCTGTACGGCTGGCACCGTATAGCCGGTGGCATTTTTGTAAATTTGATGAAGTTCATGGTTTCTCTTAAATGAGCGTTGATGTAATTTGGATGAGCATCGAGTTTGTTCTTCTGAGTATTAGGAGCCTAACAATGAGCACTAGTGATCTCTGCTTCATATCTTCTAATTCGGTTTCTTTTTATTAATTTCCGTTTATAAAAAATTCTTAAATTGTCAAAATTCTTAATTAATTTTAATATGTCAATCTAATGTAGTATGATATGTTTGACATGTGCATCATTTTAAAGTGAGCATAAATCAGTACCAAATTCATAAGATCTCCGATTTTATTTTATTTTTAAAAAATGAACCTTCAATTTTAAAGCCACTCACAAATCTTATGACACTTCTTGCAGATCACTCGTTTCTTGTTGAACCTGATTAACCTAGACCCAATTCAACTCATCGACCTCCTCCCACTTCTCATACACTCTTTTATTTTGAGGTCGGCTCCACCTCCGAGAGGCGATCGATACGCCATGAAGGAGGCCAAGGATGAGATGATTCCGTCTAAGAAGAACATGATTTACAACTCACTGAAGCATGTGACTCGCCAAGATCGTTCTCAATGATCTAGATTTGGTTGTGGTTTGCCCTGAAGTCTCATCTCTAAAAACGATTAAATTATTTTATAGGCAATACAAGAGTTTCATCAATATGTTGCTCGTGATAGGCAACATATTCATACGCAAAACTAATTTTTTTTCTTGATAAAAAACGTTTCAGAGGAAATGGTTGCTGGAAACACTATAACTTGACACTTTAGGATGCGTTCGGTAACGTTTCTGTTTTTCGGTTTCTATTTTTTTTCTTAGAAAAAAAAACAGAAACACGTTTGGTAAAAAGTTGTTTTTGTTTCCAAAATAATAATCTTTGTAAGTGTTTTTAGAAAACGAAAATATAATTCCGAAATCCACAAAACATAGTTTCTATAAATTTGTTATCATTTATCTTCAATACCCAACTACCGGGACACCACCGGACCACCACCGGCCACCACCGGACCACCACCGGACCACCACTGGCTACCACCGGACCACCACCGGCCACCACCGGACACCACCGGACCACCACCGGACCACCACCGGCTACCACCGGACCACCACCGGCCACCACCGCACCACCACCGGCCACCACCAGACCACCACCGGACCACCACCGGCCACCACCGGACCACCATCAGACCGCTTCCGGCCACTCCCGAGACCATCATCAGACTATCATGGACTACGAAAATAATTATTTGTTTCTTGGAATGACAAAACTGAAAATGAATTAGCACTAAAACAAAACGATTTCAAAAAACTGAGAATAGAAAATTAAAAACAGTTTTTTGTTTTTTAAAAATCAAAAACAGAAAACTCAAAACTATACCGAACGAGCCCTTAATTTTGAACTTATGGTTTTAGGCTTACATGTCTTTTTTTTAATTCTTAATTTCAATATATACAAATTACAAAAGTATACAGTTTTTAGATTTATAAGGTAGAAATTAGAAAAGAGACACTCCTGATAAAGAGTTGAAATTGATGAAATATGGTTGTGTACAGGTTTAATAGGGAATCATCTGGGTCATTGTTCATCACATTTGATATGTATGTTTGGTAAAAAGTGATAATTTAACTTTTCCTAGTCTTCCGACACATTTTTATTTTAAATGAAATCTAACGATCGTTAGCCTACCGTTGAGTAGGGATTCACTCTGTGTCCTAATATAATGAAAAAAAGTTGATCTTGTATTAATTTGGTCCTTATAAGAGCTTAGTGTCCAATTTGAACCTCACAAACAATCTTAGTGTTATTTTGACCCTTCTCCCTCAAAAATAAAAAAGGACATAGTCTATTGGGTTTGTTGACTTGTTCTTCAATGGAGTTTTTGCCACTTTCGGTCCCCTGACTATTATGTC